TGTGTTTAACTTCCGTTAAAGCGTTATCGGCGACCTCACATTTTGCGCGGAAGCCATTTTAAAATTGTAAAAAAGGAAACAAAACGAACGATTCGGATAATTCTGGACCGATTGAACCGAACCGCGACATCAGTTTAGCGTATCGTGAATTGAACCGTGGAAAAATATACTGCGATAAACCGTCAAACGGCTTATCGTTGCACCCCTAGTATTTAACCTGTACACATCTGTTATGCATTCAATTTCATTGAATCTTATGTCTTTAGGAATGGAATATCTTATACTACAATTTACATTATTTGTTAGATAATTACCTTGGGAGAATTATTAATATCATATCATGTAGATACATTAGTTAACTCTAGCTTATTAAGACATGAATTGTACTACATGTATAATACTGTCAACGCACATGGACGGTTCCGTTGCCTTTAACTCTGTAAACTGCTCCAATGTTTCCGTTACCACCATCGATATCTTCCAAATTCCAGTCAGGACCTAGACCAATATTAACATTTGTACCATTGTTTTTATTGTGTCTTTAACAAACAACTGAATACACATTATGCTAATAAACCTCTAGATCCATCTATGACCTTTCATCTTTACCTCTCTTGACCAGACAACCCGTTGCAATAATTTCATTTTCCAAAATTCTAGGTTCATTACACACTGTAACGTCATATTTATCCCTTTCATCTTGTGTAGACCCATATCTGTAGCCATATATTGAACCAGTGTCCCATTCAACGTTTAACCATCCAACTGAAATAAATGTTATGAAAATCACTCAATGAAAAAGATTGTAAAATATTCCAAAGAAAAGAGTGTTTTTTATCTTAATATGTCAACTAGACTATAATTTAAACAGAGAGAGAGAGAGAGAGAGAGAGAGAGGGAGAGAGAGAGAGAGAGAGAGAGCAAATTCAGCAACTTTTATGTTACTTGAAAAATAAACAACACAGTGGTACCTTAATGTAGGTCAATTTACATATTCTACAGATATATGTATCTGTAGATATGTATCTCAAGAAAATGTTAATTAAATGATTAAATCAACTTTTTCGACTTAAAAGCTCTAGAATTATATAATATATACTTTTACCGTCTTTAAGATGGCCAATAACAGTACCAGGACCAAAGTTATCCTGATAATTCCACTTCCAGTCCCGCCCACGCTTGACCCTGGATCCCAAAGGAGGCATTCTGGGGTCCCTCTCTTGAAAAACGTCATCCATTTCATTGACCATCTCTGCCGTTATAGCAGCCGTAGAAAGAAATAATGACTTCTTCGAACAAATTTCAAATATATCTTCCTAAATTAATGTCAATGAAAACACTTAAATGAAATGGTATAAACAAGTATATTTAGTTACCACGATTTTATAAAAGGAAATTTTTTAAATGATGTGCAGAAAGAGAAAAGGTTTATATTTTGTATTAAAGGCTACTGATCCTTAATTTACTGTGAAATAAAATTTTCTTGTCAACATTTACCTGATCCATTTCGGTGAACTCTTTATCAGGTAGTTTACAAGCCAGCAAAGTCAGAATCATGTCGTGGTCATTACCGTCATTCTTCATCTTATATGATAACATAGATGCAGTTTTCTTTAAAGAAATTAAATTGATATAAAACAAATATTTCACATTAATAATACATACGAGGGTTGTCCCAAAAAGTCGAAGAAGGGAAAACAATTTAGTTTTACATTATTTTTTTTCTTTTCATAGTAAAGAGCAACATTTTATGATCATAAATTTCAAGTTTCATGATAATAACACATTTAATAATAAAATAATGTAAAAACGAAGAAAGAATATGTGTACATCGGCTCACGAAAGCAAACGTAATTTACGTCTTTTATAAAATCATGATCATTTTTAAGTATACTGTCCCGTGTGTTAAAGATGCGTCTCTTAAGCATCTCATTAATTTCTTTTAAGTAGAAAACCACTGTTATTTAGGGACTCGTTAAAATTCACCACTGTCCGTAGTTTTTTTTTTTATCAGATTCAAATTTCAGTCCTCGAAAGGTCGCCTAGCATTGTAGGTAGCAGAGAATACACAAAATTTGACGTCACCTAGAACATCATACCATTTAAAAACAACTTCTCTATTAGTGTTCTAGTGTGTTATATATCACTTTTGTATTATTTTTTCGTCTCTGAATTGCATTATATCTCCGTGTGCCACTAAAGCGTTTGACGACGTCATTTGCAGCAAACTCAATTCCAACAACTTTTGAAAATTACGACATCATTCCTCTGTCTTTCATTTTATTTACATGAAAAGTTAACATAGTACTAGGATTTTGTTTCTTATTTAACTGATTTTATTTTGAATTTGATGGTTAAGATATTACCAGAGAAACAAATGCAATAATTATTATTTATTTGAATAATAACATACATAAATTATTGCGGAGTTTGTTCGTGCGCCGATAGAACATATCGGCCTTCCTATAAATCATCATTATAGCGAGCACAGCGAGCGGCCCGAAGCGCTGCTTGTCACTGCGAGCTCTTAAAACAACGCCTGTGCGGAGAGAAAATTCGGACTTTGGACATTGATCCAAACGATTTTTTTCCCGCAGTAACCTGTGGTCCCATAATGCTTTGCAAATTGCATCTCGTCGCAAACTACGTTCTCGCGGTAGCAACAAAAGTTCAACAAAACATAAAATCATATTGACTTAATGGATATTGTAGAAAAAACAGTAGATTGAACATTTTTTATTAAAACTAACACTGTTCCGACTTCCATTTGGTAATGCAACTTACTTACGACGTCATGTGACGTCAGAGTCTTGATCGACGTACCAAATGTCAATGTTTGAAGAGACGGATGAATTCATTGAATAGATATCTGCGCTCGTCCTAAAGGTCGCACGGTCAACATATTATCATTACTATGAAAGATATATATTCACAAATGCACTATTTTAAGGAACATTGAATAAATTATGGCTAGAGGCCTCTGCTGGTGAACTTAGTCCTCGAGGGTCTCTACAGCCCAGTGCCTAAGTACTTCAGTACTAGCTTGAAAATACGGATATAGTTTTAATTGCTGTGGTAAAATTTTGAATTTTTTTTCAAATTAAGGATCATCTCCCTCTGGCAAAGCTGTGATCCTTTGATGTATTTGGCTCTAGTCTTTGGCAGTCTTTTTTTTAAGCTCTTCAAGGTTTTTTCAAACGAAAAATATTTCGGATTTCCAACGTTTCGGCATGAGCATCACTAAGAGAAATAATTTGTAGAAATGCGCATTTGGTGCATCAAAATTGGTACAGTATAAGATTTACATTATATTTGATTTCATTTCTCTGCTTTGTACCATATTTTCTGTATATTTTGCAAACTGTCTGGCCTCATGGGGATACACCATCTTTCCTCCTCTGGATTGTGCACTTATAAATTCCAGTACTATCTGTTAAAGACAAATGAATTAAAATGCTATCAGTCTATTACACTTGTGAAGTACATGTTCTACAGTTTTCAAAATACAGAAATTGAACTAGACGTACCAAATTAGGGTTACTTCCCACGGGTATGCAGAAGATAGGATGGTGCTTACCAACTCCTTTTGTAAAATGCAGCAATTGTTCCTTATCCTAAAAATGTGTAAACGTATGAATACGTATGAATAAGAGTATTTCTTTTCCCTACATAATAGAAATCAATGGAGTTTCGAATTCATATACGATGTAAGACTGAAAGAAAGATTCAGCAAGACCATTATATATGTTTTTTTTTTTGAAATTATTCTTTGATCACCAAGGAATGAACTGTGGCAAAATACCTCTTCAGTTTCATAAGCAGGGCAATCTTCAGTTCCATTCATGACTGTAAAATCTGTGGGGTTCCCATCGGAGATAAGAATTATTCTTGGATGAACGTGAAAATCTCCAATTCTCGTTGTATAACCTAATATCAAGAACCAGACAACTGTAGCGAGTAGTTAATAGGACAGTTGTGAAATTAAGGAACGTATTTTCAATTATGATGTTTATTGTTTCTCAAAATATTTTTTCCTTTGGTGTGCCAAGGCAAAATTTTATTTTAAAATTTTTGCATATAATTTCAATTTCAAACAACAAGTATGAGATACTAAGTACAGTTTTAACTCCATTTTGTTGACCAAGATATAAAATAAACACAAGTGATAGCAATTGTCTCAAACCTAGATAGATTGATAGATAGTGCAATGATGCATATGGCGTCTGATATTCTTTTGTTGTTTTGTATTGTTGTGCTGTATGCCTCAGAAGTATTAAAATATCCTAAATCAATTACATTTTATAAAATAAAAAGTGTTCAAACGTATCATTAATCTTTAATTTTCTTTTGCCACTTTTTTGTGCCGAAAGTGAAATATTGGACTGTTGTAAACCAGATATAATTTTGGATTCCTAAGAATACATGATTCCACAATTTTTTTTAAAATCCTGATGTCAAATACGGACCAAGTTTGATCTTTCACATATCTTGTCCATGATATTTGTATAAAATAACCAGATGAACAAGCTTATTGAAAAGCTGACAATCATAAATTAGATTCTGTACCCTTCTCTGTACCTTTGAAGCCAAGAAACATTTTTTATACGGATATTAATTTGTAAAGTTTATAAATACATGTACTTTAGTTCATATTGAAAAATGCTCTCACTGTTTTGTAAACAGCCAATAGATAACAAAAATGCCGATGTAAGCGGGCTTGGTCCTCCAAATTCAACTTCATCTGAAAAAAATTAAGTCTTAAACATTTGTGCGCACATATGAATGTATTAGGATTACAGCTGTTTTTCAACTTGTGTGTTGCATGATCATAGCTTTATTAGCCTTTGAAATCAAAAGGTTAATATGAGAAAATTTTCCAATACTTAAAGGAAACCCCAGTATTAGGAATTTTGAATCGTTTTTCATTAAATTGAAGAAATCTAAAAGAGGGAAATTTTAAAATGTCCACATTTATCAATTGAATCAAAAGCATTGTTTACCTAGACAATGTTTTATATCTGAGTACTGATTTGAGTAATAATGTTGAAATCTAGTGTTTCTTCCACATATTATAACTGCTACATTTTCGTCCATGTCTGGATGATTTGCGTATTCTGAAAGAATAGAAACATGTTTTTCAGTTAAGACAAGTCAAACGTTGCAATATTCGATCTTTTTCATTTTCATTGTAAACATTTTATTTGTATTGTATAATTTTTCATTTATATTGTATAATTTTTCATTTATATTGTATAATTTTCCATTTATATTCCATAATTTTTCATTTGAATTGTATAATTTTTATTTGTATTGTAAAAATCATTTGAATTGTATAAGTTTTCACTTGCATTCTATATTTTCCATTTGCATTGTAAAATTTCTTAAATGTATTTTAAAATAAAATTTCTTATTTGTGTTCGATTTTTTTTCATTTGTATTGTATCCAAGTGTTGTTTAATTATTTATTACAGAATACAAATGGGAAATTATACAATTCAAATAAAAATTATAAAATACAAATGAAAAATTATACAATTCAAATAGAAAATTATACAATACAAATGGAAAAGATCGAATATGCAACGTTTGACATGTCATAATCAATACGTATGCTTTTATATCAAAGAAACAGTAAGGATCTTTTTAAAGCATACATACACCGGTCATTGCAAATAAGGTAGATCTCTATAACTTTTTTTACTTGCTATCTTTGAAATATATAGAGGATATTCAATTTATGGTTGGATATAGAATTTAATTCACGAGTGGAACAGGATTCTTTTTATATTCACTTTGAATATAAATGAAAAAAAATCCTTTCTCAATAAATTCCATATCCACAAAATATTGAATTTTCCGATTAATACATTTTCTTTGATTAGCCATTTGCCTCTGTCTTTTTTTAACACAATATCATAGGCTGTGACGTCATAGTTGAGAGATTGAGACGATTGTGAAATTGAAAACATCGTAAACATTTTTAGTCTCTGTCTGGATGACATATTTACTTTATTTCTCTCTCTTTCTCTCTTCTTATTACAGGCCAGGGAGTATTTTTACAATAATCTTTGTGAAGAAAAATCGAGAGATTTGCTGCACTTATGATTTCTTTTCACAGTGTGACAGAATATCACTATGATATTCTTTCACACTGTGACAGAATATCACTTTCATTCAACAAATAAATTACAGTATTTCACAGTTAAAAATGTAATAATAGAGTGTTATTAATGCATTGCAACAAAAAATACCAACAACAAACATTTTCACATCAAATGCGATGGATGTTTAAATTCCCCTTTTTACAGTGGTTAAAAATAACATAACGTTTGGACGAAGATGGTAAAAGTAAACAATAAATGAGTTACCATCAATAACTGCACTAAATATTTCCTTCATTTGTTTAAATCCATCCTCCCCAAGACTTGACGATGTATCCAATATAAAAATATTGCTTGGTCCTTTTCCATGTTGATGCCTCAAATCAAAATCTTAGAAAGAAATTCATTGCTTTACTCTGAAATTGTGATTCTGAGGGTAATACAATGTACATGTACGTGTGATAAAAATGGCTTTTACTATTCATCATTCTCTACTGACAAAAATAATAGATAAGTATTTGCAAAACATTCGTAATTTGAAGACAGTTCAAACGTTAAGATGTTTGCAAAATTTGCTCTACGAAGCATATTAAGTCTAACGAATATGAATGATAAAACATCCAATATATTACTTACTTTTCTGACCTTCGAAACGAGCTTGCTCATTCCAAAATTCCTGCGCTCTTTTAAAATCGAAGGCCATCTTCACCATATTAAAGATTAAAAAAAAAACAAGCATGATCTCCAATGTCTGATAGATAAATTTGTTGATGTTAAATACACACTGAAGTAACCATGATGTGAAACCATTCTCAGTCCGGTATTAACAATTCTTTTATAAATCTGACGAATATCAGAATGTTAATGCACAAGTAACATTTTTTTGCAAGTGATACCAAATACCTGACTTCCATTTAAAGCAAATTTGCGACAAAACTTTCTAAATTATAAATAAAAAATGACAAAAGACCTTATCGTATTATTCCACTCGTTAATATAAAAAAATGTCTGAAGTAAACAGAATACAAGCTCTAGTCTGAATAAACCACCAAATCAGAATAAATTTGAAGAAATCAAATTGTTATATCATACAGATAAAGATATGCAAAATAGCAGTCTTACATTTAAAGAAACTAGATGATCCTTGCACTGTTTGCCCAATATATCTCACTTCCTTGTTCATATTTCCCTGTTTTGATTAATTATATATGCCGGATACTTGTAACATGGTGGAAGTGATATATATCTTTTCAGGAAAACATATGCTGCGATTACTGTATAAAAGGATTACATAAATAGAACTCGATACATCGATAGACCTGTTTAAATAATAACCATTTAATAATTTTACATATGAATATCGCAAACAAAATATTAATATAGAGCAGTTTATCAGGCAAAGTGCCTGTAGAAAACAAAGAAATATTCCATGGTAACATTTCAGCTGACTCAAGCACACATATATGCATCTTTGAAAGCTATTATTAACATCCCTGCAACCGACCATCGTATGGATCAGGCTTGTTCATATTTTCATATTTCATTTCGTAAGAAGTCTATAGGGAATTACCGTATGTAAGTCTTGATGTTAAGCCCATACAATGTTAGGGCCCCGCTTTTCGGGGTGCCCTATATGGCCAGTCTGTCCGTCCGTCTGTACGTCATATATCACAGAATATACTTCACCCATACAGTATCGTGGATAAAGAGTGTGTACACTGACCTAGGAATAATTCTATCGGCATAAAGTCAAGGTAATAGCAAATCTCTGTATAAAATCATTGACGTGAGCACACTTTTTCATAACTTGATCCAATTTGGCTGAGTCCTCATCCAAACGATTGGCAAAGATATAAGTCAAAGGTCAATGTCAACCATATCTCTGTATAAAAATCATTAGTGTGAAAACATCTTCTCTCATGTTGTCCGATCTTGATTATACTTCAACCACTGAATGTCTTTGAATAAAGTGTTCAGTGATCATGGACTATGTTTCTGTCATATGTCTAAACAGGTCTCTGAGTATATATTATAAGACATCAGAAAAGAATTAAATATCAAAGCAAACATATATATATATATATATATATATATATATATATATATATATATATATATATATATATATATATATATATATATATATATATATATATATATATATATATATATATGTTACTTTGCCTCTGTATCATATCATCGTATCGTGTCATTTCTAAAAAATATTTTGTCAGGTACATAATTCTGATTTTTTTCTAAATTAGAAGAATGCTGCATCAGATATTCATTTAAAAAATTTTCTTCTTTTTTCCTTACAAAGATTTACAACCCTCCCCTATATGCAAAAGCATTTTTTTCTTCTGAAACTGAAAAGAACAACTTTTCCCAGTTTACCTTTGGTCTCTCAAATAGTGTTTTCTTCATGTAAGTCCATTTCATCGTAATGTCCTTTTCCTTACTAAAAAAGGACTTTTTGAAAAGTCAAACCTCAACGATATCCCTAATATCATTTGAAACTTCGTCTTCTCGTTAAGTAGGAATTGTTAGCATGAAGATAAAAAGGTACGATAGAAATCACATTCAAATATATTTTCCTTTCGTACGTTTATTTTGATATTTATAACAATGTTTAATATCAAGTTTGATGGAAGAAATCCTTTATTATTTCATAGACATTGCAATTGAACTGGGTGTAAAACTTCATCTATTAATGGTAAAAATTATTACTCAACAATACTGGTATAAAATATGCAAGAGAAAAAACCCCAACTGAAACTAGTTATTGCTTAATCGCTTGCGATAATGGATGAAATATATGGAGATAAAGAACAGTATTCAAGCTCAAAAGTCCATTAAACATTACAAAATAGATGCAGAGCAAACACGGACCTCCAAAACGTCAGAGGTGGGATCAGGTGCCATGGAGGAGTGAGCATCCCCTGCCGACCGGTCAAACCCGCCGTGTGCTCCTTGTCATGATCGGGAAATAACGGAAAAATCCGTCGACAAATCAGTGTGTAAATAATAGCCTAACAATTAATATGAAAAACGTCTGTCAACATTTGACTCAGTGATAAACTGTATTTGCTGACAAGGTCATTGTATCGACCATAAAACTTACGAAATGATGGCTTTAAACGAGACTGCTGATATTCTTGTTTCATCAACTTGTTTGTCAATAATTTACCTCGTTTTAGAAATTGTACATACCTAGAGCATGCTCTTGAGTATCGAATCAACTGAGAGATATAAACCCCGTATGCAGGTGATGAAGGTACAGTGTATATTGCTGCATAAGTAATGGAAGTTGACGATTGAAAAGTAAAAATCATCACGTTTATCATAAAGCTTGGTCGTAAGATTACCATTAACGTTTTTTTCAAGTAAAATATCCAAATATGAAACAGATGTGTCAGACTCTGCAGTATCTTTTATCTCAAGCTCACCGGGATATATCGTATCGACATAAGAATGGAAATAAGCATTGTTAATTGACATTACGTCGTCGATATATCTAGATATCGAGTTGAAGGCCTCAACAAGTCTTTATTTTCTTTTCAAGTATAAGATTTTGGACAAATTCTGCTTCATATGAATACAAAAAAAGTCTCCTTATAACGGGGTGCAATTGGTACCCATGGGAATTCCAATAGTTTGTTGGAAGACCTGGTCTCCAAAAACCACATAGATATTGTCAATCAGAAACTCAAGTATCTTTTTAATGTCAACTTCAGAATACTTGTGTGTACAATCAGAATGTTTTTTAACAAAATAATTTTGCAAATGACCAATGACAAGGTAAATAAATTCACGAGTTCCATTTTTATTAAAAAGCAGCTGTCAATGATATCAAAAAGCCTTGATTTTAATTTATCGTGGGGAATGGTTGTGTATAAAGTTGGAAAGTCGTAAGTTTTTAAGCTGTTGATTTTGGTAAAATCTTGTGATTTAAAATTTTCCAAAAGTTCCTGGGAATTTTTAAGTATCCACATCTGATTTACACCACTTCTCGAATATATTGATGCACAGTACTCTGGAAGTTTCCCCTTCACTACTGTTAATATCTTAGTGATAATAACTTTACATTCAATCACATAATCCCACACGCAGGAAAACACATACTCACAAACTACAAACACATACACAAATCAATCTTAACGAAAGATAAAATGTTTTTTTTTATTCACAAGTATTTTTTACAATTTTCACTGCAAACTCCTCTCTTGTCGTCAAGTTTATTTGCATATATTTGGCCATGACAACTCTGTATTTAAAAACATAATATCTATCTGTAAGAAGCATTTTACAGTATCTCTTTTATCGCCAACAATCGCTTTTATTGGTTTTTACAGCAAGCTTTTCCACTTACGAGTTTTCTTTTATTGTAAAAGTAACAGTAGAATTAGGATTTCGTTTATAACATCTGTTAATTTTGTCGTTCATTTTTCTTGGATAGGGGTTCCACTGGCCTTGTTTATCTTTCCACAACCACTGATCTGATGCAGAGAAAATCAATGAATATGTCATCCCATCAGCTTCTACATCCGATGCTTTGTCTTCAACGTATTCGTTTTTAAAATATTTTCCTTTAGGAATTGTCAAGAGAGAAAGCATAGCATTGGGGTTTTTGCAAATCTTGCTGGATTCAAAATCAACACCATCTTCAGATGAACAAGATGCTATGTAGAACGGAAATAAATGTCAAGCATCTAACTTTTGAAAGAAATAATGTGCCAATTTAATTAAAAAAAATAAGTACAACATATACATTGTAGGGTAAGAATTCTTAAAGAGCGCACCTTTAGAAGGAGAACTTTCAGAAAGTTCGACAGGTAACTCATTAAGTTCTCCTTTTCTGACTTGTTTTTATAGATACTCAGCAGCTTCCGATGAGAATGGGTCGCTGTTAAAATAATGGTACTTTATTTGATTTTATACATTTAAAGAACATAATTTATGAAGAATAAATTTAAAAGCTACCAAAGTTATAGTTATAAAACCTGGGTTGGAAAAGTTAACAAGTAATAAATCGCTTTCACAGGTATGTTAAGGCAGTACCCTGATCATATTTCGGCGACTTTTAGACTTTTTTCGTAAAATGTAACATTGATAAATCGGAAAAACCATATATAAAACATTTACTATCATTATCCATTGTATAGACGTCACTGAGTCTTAGGCTAAAAGAAGCACTCCACTACGACGTTATCACATCTATAAATAGCAAAATTGCCTTAATGAAAAAGTGAAAAGTTCAACACTACACCGGGGATAATTCGTTTCTCATGAAACCTTACCAAAATTATTACATTTTGTACAAACGATCAAGGAATTGTCATCAATTCATGTTAATCACACGATTCTAGCAGCACTTTCCAAGTACTATAGAATACAAGCTTTCGATACAAACAAAAATTATGTCTCAAAGTATGCGGCGTAGTGTTGAACTTTTGCAACTTTGTTGTTAAAGAACGACAGAGGAAAGGCTGATCGGGATTTCAAAGCACTGCCTATGTTCATTATAAGAAAACATGATAAGAAAATAGCAGCCTACCTGATTCTTAATCTTTAATTCCTTGTGAATCACACATAACATTCACGGTATATGCTTTAGAACTCCCATTTTATATACTTGTTTACATGAATTCTCGTCACGTTTAATTTTCACTCGGCAAATATTTGATCAATAGTTATGACGTCATGGGTTTGG